TTCATAACAGAAATTCATTCATTCACTATAATTTGTATATATAACTGTAGAGTCTGATGATGAAGGGGTTATCGAAAAGAGTACTCTTTGTTCAGTATTCATTCTTTTCAAAATTATTTCATGAATAGACAAGCCCAGTGTATAACATGTGTTGGACAGAATACAGTTGAATACCCTATTCTCATGTTCTGTGTCAGAATCCATATGTGCATGTATGTTATTTCTGAGGGTTTGACATTTTACATCCATGCAAGTAGTCTGGATTCGATTCCAGGCTGACGTACCTCTAAATCTCTTTGAGTCTGTAGAAATTCATTCTATTATTCTATTACAAAATGGTTGGCTGATATTTTTGAATCAGTAAGGAAACATGTATCCACGTTCTCGTCTCGTTCACACTTTTCAGCTCATCAATTGTAATACAAGACATGAATGCTACTTGTAATAGTAGGCTATCCTTGGACATTCAATCACTTTTCATTAATCCCCCACTTATGGAAACTGACTGGTGTATAATGTAAGTAAACAGGTGATGACCAGTTCAACATTGGAATTCCAACAATAATTATTAAGAGAACTGCTTTTGTGGTGTACTTCCACTGTACCCTTTAGTAACAGTGACACCAACAACAGACAAAAGGATGGTGCTTTACTAGCAGACTGTTTCATGGCCAACCTCGAGAATGGTCTATTAAACTCGGCCATTGACAATTTAGAACTATATAAAAATATAAAAGGTATGTAGGTGACATTCTTATCGTTTGCAATGATATTTATTACAACTGCTGCAAATATTTAACAGCTGTTATCCAGCAATATAATTCGCTATTAAAATGGAAAATGTGTCTAAAATCCCTGTTGATACATTCCCTTTAATGCTGTGGAACTGAAAAAGCAACCTGATAGGACATTAGGAGGGTGAGCACTTAAGAAACCTATTTGGAACAGTTAATTAACGAGTTTCAAAAGTTGTGTGCCGATTGAGCGAAAACGAAATTTTGTTAAATTCTTTGACACTCGCATCCAACGCATCTGTAATACAGATGCTATAGAAACTTTCATCAAAACTGGATACCCACTGAGATTCATTTATAAGAACATTAAACTAGAAGTTCAGAGGAACGAAACATCAGTTGTTGCAGAAAAGAAACTTCACGTGAACATGGTTTTCAACGAAGACTTACCCTCCGTTGTCCTTTAGGGAATAATTTCATGATCTTTGAGAACATACATCACAACAACGTTAATAGTAGTATTCTCCAGTCCTTCATTGATCATGGGTAGAGAAGCTCTAGGAGAAATGAATGAAAACGGAGAACTCTTCGCCGACTTCTGCGCCTTCAACGAACTGGTGATTGGTGGCAGTGTATACAAGCACAAAGATATCCACAAGGCTACATGGGTGTCACCAGACGGGCAAACCAAAAACCAAATCGACTTCATCTCAATCTCAAGGAAGTGGAGGCGCAGCCTACTGGACACAAAAGCAAGAAGAGGAGCAGACGTTGGCTCAGACCACTATCTCGTACAAGGGACAATCCAAATCAAATTAAAAGCTTTCAGGGAATCAGGAGCTGCAGATAGACCACAAGCCAAGTTCAACACTCAAAAGCTGAAGGACCAGGCTACAAAGGACATCTTCATTGCAAGCATAAAGGACAAAGCCGAGACACAAATCAACACCAGCGAAAAGGTCAGCGTTGAAAAGCACTGGAACAACTTGAAAACGGTGTGGAGCCAAACCTGCATAGAAATTCTAGGCAGAAAAAAGAGACAGGACAAACAGTGGCTCACTACGGACACTTGGAAACTAATAGAAGAGAGAAGGACAGTGAAGCAAAAGATTATCCAGTGCACTGACGAGCAACAAAAACAGGAGCTGAATGCAAGCTACAATACACTGAACAAAAGAGTGAAGAAAAGTGCCAGGGAAGACAAAAGAAAATATTATGAAACCATGGCAAACGAAGCAGAACAAGCTGCAGGCAAAGGAGACCTCGCCACACTCTACCAAACAACTAGGAACCTTTCGGGCAAACGTTCGACACAGATTAAGCCAATAAAGGACGACAATGGAAAGTCAATCACCAAAGAGGTGGAACAGAGAAAGCACTGGGTTGAACACTTCAAAAGACTTCTAAATCGTCCGCCACCTACAACACGTCCAGCAATACCAACAACGGAAGCAGAACTACCAGTGAACACTGACCCCCGACGAAATCAGAAGTCCTGAATGCAATCAAGATGCTTAAAGCTGGGAAAACACCGGGACCAGATGGAATCCCAGCAGAGGCTTTGAAAATAGACCCAGAGACAACAGCGGACTTGATGACACCACTACTGGAGAAGGTGTGGAAAGAGGGCAAAGTACCCGAGGATTGGAAGAACAGTTACTTATTCAAACTTCCAAAGAAAGGAGACTTAAGTCAATGTAAAAACTGGCGTGGAATTATGCTTCTGTCCATTCCAAGCAAGATACTAAGTCGCATCATCCTGGAGAGAATCAAACAAGCCCTAGATGAAAAACTTCGTCCGGAACAGGCTGGATTCAGGAGAAACAAATCATGTATTGATCAAATCGCCACTCTACGGATCATCATTGAACAAAGCTTGGAATGGCAGTCACCTCTCTATCTCAACTTCATCGACTTTGAAAAGGCCTTCGACAGCGTCGATCGAGAGGTCATTTGGAAACTACTTCGCTACTACGGGGTCCCATCGACAATTATACACCTCATCCAACAGTTATACGACAATGCTGCATGCCAAGTAATCCACAACGGGAAACTTACGGAAGCCTTCGAAGTGAGGACGGGAGTGAGGCAAGGCTGTCTACTATCACCAATGATCTTCCTGATTGCAATTGATTGGATAATGCGACAGACAACGGCAACCAACGAGGGAACAGGCATAAAATGGACTGACACAAAAGACTTGGAGGATCTGGATTTCGCCGATGATATATGTCTGATTTCCCATAAACTGGAAGATATGCAAGTGAAAAGTAACAAGTTGGCAGAAGAAGCATCAAAGATAGGACTTCACGTGAACATAGATAAAACAGAGATGATGAAGATTCCTAGCCAACATCAACAACACCAACAGACCACAATAAGCATAAATGGGAAGAACCTGAAAGAAACAACCTCCTTCACCTACCTGGGAAGCATCGTCTCAACTACAGGCGGAACTGACGAGGACATCAAAGCCAGAATCGGAAAAGCAAGACAAGCTTTCATTACTCTCAAATCTGTGTGGAGGTCAACAGCACTCAGCATCAAAAATAAGATCCGGATTTTCAACTCCAATGTGAAGTCAGTGCTACTATACGGATCAGAGACTTGGCGAGTCATAAAGAGCATCTCAAACAAACTTCAAACCTTCATTAACAACTGTCTCCGCTCAATACTCAAGATCAGATGGCCAGAAAAGATCAGCAACAGGGATCTCTGGGAGCGAACCAATCAGGAACCGATTGTGAAACAAATAGGCAGAAAGAAATGGAGATGGATTGGCCATACGCTGAGGAAACCATCAAGTGACATCACTAGACAAGCCCTCGAGTGGAACCCGAAAGGGAGGCGGCGAGTTGGTCGTCCAAGGGTGACTTGGAGGAGGTCATGCGAGGAGGAGATGAAAGCATGTGGACAGACCTGGAGCAGGGTGAAAAAGTTGTCAGAAAACCGAAGTCAATGGAGGTGCGCAGCTGAAGCCCTATGTTCCTCTAGGAACTAAAGGATACAATAATATAATAATAATAAATCATTGATCTGAAGAATCTGGGAGGTCAACATCTCGCGTCTAACCATTTCTATGTCCATGCATGTATCAGTTCATCTGTTCTTGTGGAGCAGGAGACATTGGTCCTTCAACGCGCAGTCTGTCTAAAAGTGTTCAAGAACACTAACCCATATGGTGTTTGAATAGTACAGTGACTGAACACCTTCCATTTCTACAAACACCTCCTACAGAGTAATCTGTAAAATGAGGAACAACCGACCTGTCAAGGAAAACACACTTTCGTCTCCCTTGCATTGCTGAAGTTTTAGTCATTCAGATAAGGTAACGAGAGCTATGTATATAAACGAAAATTTTTCAACCACTTCTACAGTCATGGTAACAACCCTGCTGATTTCTACTAACTTGATTTTCTTTTGTTTTGCTAACTATTTATATAACTCTTGTATTTCTTGAGAACTCTCAAATAATTCCATGTGTTCCTTCATTTCTTTGTTCATCCTGATTAGCACTCATTCATTAGATTATTCACTGTATTGCGTAACTCTGATACACCTACTCAACTCGTCTTATGCATTGACTAATATTACCAGCTATGATTATGACAACCCACCACTTTTGTTACTACCCTTATTCATCAAAATAATTGTATATACATGTGACTGTACAGTTAAAGAAGAAAGTGAGTTCGCCGAACAAAGCTTTTTCGCTGAATTACATATTATGTTTTCAGTATTAAATCTAGCAAAAATGGAAAGTTGGGTATTTTGACACTTAGCAGCCTCACCTCATAAAATTAACACTTAAACAACTGAAACATTTGGGGATCTGATTGGTTTTTTTCACGGCCTAAATTGATTACATGACCATTTTTCTAATTTCGCTGAAAAAAAATTTGGTCAACTTGAAGGCAAAATGCTCTGTCAATATCTTCGCAGAATAGTATTATGCTTTAGTTGTTCAATATAATTATGTATGCATGCTGAAATCTAACTTCTCTCATTGTCATGAAGTTAGACGATGTTTATTGATTGGCCTTGAAATCATCCAATCAGCTTACAAAATAGTAGACAGATTAACCAATCAATTTTATACTTAATTGTTATTCGTTTGTTAGTTATACGATTTAATATAATCTCTGTCCTCGTGATTTTAGCCATCCATTCGAATAGTATTGTTTCTTCAATTTAGAAGAATGTGTACAGGTTACGTCAATCATTTATATACAGAATTCACTTTACTTCAATCATTAAAGATTCATTATGGGAGTATATTATTCTTTAAACAAGGAAAATGATTATATTTATCAAAGTAGAATTTTAAAAGGAAAGCTAACTTCAAATATCTACACAAACAAACGTAAACAACAACATTGTGGACTAAGGAAATATTCATTGAAATCGAATACTCGTATTGTAAAGTTGATTAACCTTACTACTTCTGACAATCAAAGTATACTAACATATATGTATGCACCTTCTGAAAGCAAATCGAATATAATTTCACAGATATCTTTTGATACCTCCATGAATTCAAGGGAATGTGACTCACCTACACTACCAAGAAGAAAGTCACCAACTTCAGTACATGCTAAAATTTTTAACAGTTGTGTTCCTCTCTCTGGTCTACGTCGATCGCTGTCTTTGCCAAAGCAAAACACTCTATTAAATAATAAACATCATTCTCCTGAATTTCGAATAGGAATGTCAGGTTCAAAATATCTTTCCAGACATGATTCAAAGCGTTCAGCAACAGCTGGAAGTGCTTCACCTATTGGTACAGAGCCTTCACTCTCTTCTGGTAGCTGTTCTAAAGAACCATTATATAAATGGAAAAATACTAAAGGTAGTCAATCGTTTCAGGATAAACAGCCTTACAAAGAGTTTGATTTTGGTCAAGATAATCTTGTATTTGAAGAAGGCTTAAATTATGTGATAGATGATCAAGCAACAAGTACAACTATTCTTTCTAATGACTATACACCTTCTATAGATGATTCTTCTTCAATATTCTATGATCCTTTGCTAGCTAAACTGGAAGCAGAATTGCCTGTTCCTCCACCACCTCCACGGCTTGTCCACCTTGGCTTAAAGCTGCTCTAGCAAAACAAGCAGCTTCCACTCAACAACCAATAGAAAAATTAAATGTTCAAAATAAAAAATGTGTTGCTTCATCACTTCAATTGTCTACATCACAAATTTCTCCACCTCCAACCGATTGGGATACACATAAAGCACTTAGTCTTGAAAATAGTCGTTTCAATGTACGCATTTATCCTATTTTACAGAATGGTGTAAAAATAAGTGATACACATTATTGGCTTCTTGATCCTCCACGATGTAGAACATTAAATAATACTTCTACTCTTATACGAAGAGCAACGGATTGTGTACGTGTTCCTCCTTCTTCACCGTTGGACATTTCTCCTACAGTTGATGGATATACAAATATTGAATCGACAGATTTTTGTCCACCAGATGAATTACCACTGAAAGATGTTAAACTTAGACGTGGTAAATCTGAAATTTGTAAAGACTCCTTAAAGTATTTTCATCAAGAGCTAGTTTTACGCCTTATGAAAGAAGTTCCACAAGCTACTGAATCAGAATGTCAAGCTGTATTGATTGGGAGTAGTTATGATTACGATGAAGCAACAAGACGTTTAAAATTTGAATTATTATGTCGTAAAGGTTATATCTCTAGATCAAATTGTAAACGTTTATTAAGTAAATGTAATTGGGATTTAGATGCAGCTATTTCACGTGCACACTATGAATATGAGTATCGTAAACTTCGACGTCAACAAAAAGATAATGAATTGTTAACAAATCCAAAGGAGGTGAAATCGCCTAGTAGTAGTGATCAGTCTAGAAGTCGTAATTCTTTCTTGGTGCCACGTTCATCAACATCCTCTGATTCCTCAGTCTCACCATTACCATGCTCTATTCATCATGAGTCTGTTGCTTCACCATGGTGTGATGATAATCGGAGAAGTAATCCATTTTAACGACAACAATGTTAAAAAGTGTTTAAAAATGAACACGTTTATGCTATTATGTATATTATATGTGTATATTCTCATGCGAAGATATTCACAAACAAACTATACAAAAATCGTAACCATTTAGCTGAGAGGAGAAAGCATGTGTATAGCGTTTATATTACATATATCTATACCAAAGGTAAATTGAATATTTTTCCCTTCGTCTTCTTTGTGAGTGTTACTTTTAACCGGTGCAGTTGCCTAACAAGAATAGTCGGCAAGCCCGTTTGTTTGTTTGCCTATTGACTATTGTCTATTCTGTACATCTGTAAGTAATCATTGGTATTATTATTATTATCATTATTATTATTATAGTAAGGCTATGTATGGTATTCTGGTCAGATTTTTATTCTAATTTAACGAAACATTCTCGTATAAATCATCATGTAAGCGCATTTATAGATCATAATCATCAAAATAAAAATAAATTATCATCATGAAAGTAGAACAGGTGCACATAAACACATTGTGTGGAACCTGTGTAATTGTTCTTTTCCCAAGTATACTTTAACACAAGCACCTATTTTACCCTTGTTGTATATAAAAAAACAAAAACAATAAAGACTGATTAGTAATATTAATGATAATAGTAATAATAACAATAATAATAATTTCAACATATTTCAAATCTAGTCAATTAGCATGTAACCCCATTTTCTTTTGAAAGTATTTTAATGTTTTTTTCCACAATTTGGTTCATTTATCAAATTATTATTTCTTCTTCTGTTTTTCGAATCTTCAATGGTTTAAACTCTTCAGTGAAATCCTATTTTTGATTTGATTTTCTCAAATATTCACATTTCTTAGTGTCTATCTTCGTATTGTCTTTGCTCCTCTTTGCTATGTGTTAAAATTTTATCCTGCCTCTAGTTTAACAGCGTTCAGCTTTTGTATGCAGGCATGCATCAGTTGATTATGGCGAATAAAAGACGACAATTATACTAATAAGGGTACCATCTTTTTTTTGACTTTCTCTTGTCCTCCAAAAGAATTCCTATAACTATCCGTGATCAATCTTTCTTTAGTTGATTAACTGTTGTCAATTTTTAAAAAAAATGTTTTGGAGTCTTCTCTCACTTCACATTTTTGCTATACTTGAAGTGAATCGCTTCTTTTGATGATTTAATCATATCCTATTTTTGGGGAGCTTTTCTTTCTCTCTGATAGTAGAGAGTAAATCATACATAGTAGAGGATTGGATTTGAACTCAATGTCTTCTCGCTTTTGTGTGTATTATACAATGTAAAAAGCACATAAACGCACACACACACACGAAGAACTGACGTGTTTTCATGAAGTACTGTGTTAAAACAACAAAAACAACAAATGCAACAAATTATGTATATTGACTTTGTGTCTGTTCTTTTTTCTCGATATTCTACTTTTCTCCTCATCGAAACGATAAAAAGTCAAGGTCAATAAACGAAAATAATGTAACAAATAGATAGGTGGATGGATGGATGGATTTGCGTAAGCATACACGTTACCGTATACTAGAAAAGATGATATGATTGTTTTATGTCATCAGTAAATAGTAGTTCCTAGTTCCTCTTTTTGAAACTAGGAAAGTATACTTGAGAAAATGAGAAAGAGGAATAGTAGTTTTAGAGGTTGATCTCACCTAGAAGAGCGAAAAACCACAATTTAATACTGACCAGCATTGTGATTATTCATTATTGTTTCAAGTTTAACCACGAAGAATTGATATCACATATAGAACTATTGGTAACCAGCATGAAGTACTGGGCAGCTGTTTCTTCCCAGTCTAGGGACACATTGGTAGTACGAGCTCAGGATTTTCTGGTGACAAGGCAAGTATGTGGACCACTCAGCTACTGGGATGATTTTAGCTGAACTGCCAGCCAATGGTTTCACTCTCGACCGGATAGTTCACGACTTCTCACTAGTACACTCCCAAGGCCTTCGTCCTGTAGTCGGTCACTACTGAGCAAAATATTAATTTTCAAAAGATGGTTTGAAGGGATTTAAGTTTTAAATTCAAGTTTGACAACAAAAATAATGTAAGTTTTGCAGTACTCCCTGGTTTTTTAAATGAATCCCTAACTACTGATGTCAATCCATTATTGAGCGAATTTGGAACTATGTTTAAAGTTGAATCTAATCTTAATGAATCGATGATCTATGAGTTAACAGATTAAAAGTCAATAAACACAGTCACTACCATGAGGTGGACATTTCTTCTTGTTCCTTCTTATGTGATAGCTTTCAGTTCACATTAATTTGTATCCACCCGACCGAAAGCTGCTACCTTGACGTGGTGGTCGGGCTTGAACACCGCAATGACCTAATCAAGCTATACTGGCTGAGACTTATGTCTCTTGAGGTTCTACCATGCCAGGCAGGTTGTTTGGATAGCGGTTAAACAAAAAGCAGCTACCCAATCCAACATCATGTCCAATACAAAATTACAAAATTTCATGCCGGATCGGCCGTGGCCCGGATTAACAACGACCGCGCTTCCTGCTGCCGTGTCACAGGGCGGGAGTGATAAATCTGCTACTGAGACACACCAAACAAAAAAGAACGAACAAAAACAGGCCGCGTGTGACCGGCCTCAAGCAGTTGTCCCCTGGGCTCTGCGGTCACGCAACCAACTTCCACGGTGTGGGCAGCCGGGAAGTAACAATCGCCCTCACAATCCGAAATGCACACGAAACCTCTCTATTACTCACTCATCTTTGTCTTCATCTTCATCTCTATCATCTTGCCTTCCTTCCACTGATGCAACTCCTCGACTTGATAGCTCTCCACTTCCTCTCCACTCTGCGTCCACTAAAAACGATGGAAGCCAAAAAACCACCACCGACAGCCTCTTAAAGCCGCGCCACCAATTTCATATAGGAGCTCTTAATGTTAGGACACTTTGCCAAATAGGACAACAAGCATCACTAGCCAAGACCCTGGCATCACGAGCCATTGATGTATGCTGTGTTTCAGAAACACGCATACAAGACCCAAGTGTGGTTATTCACCTAACCCCACCTGGCCAACAGGTTGAATCTGCAAAATTCACCTTGAGGGTGTCAGGAGATGCCACAGCTAGTTCACGAGGATTAGCTGGCGTAGGGATAGCTTTGAGTACTAGGGCAGAAAAGACATTGCTTGACTGGATCCCGGTAGATAGCCGAATGTGTGCTGTCCGCCTGAACGGATCAGTAAGAAGGAGGAAGGACTGCACTACTCGCCGATGCCTTTTCGTAATCTCCGCCTACGCCCCCACTGACTGCAGTTCAGATGAAACGAAGGATGAGTTCTACCAAAAGCTGTCTAGTTTGGTGGAAAGGCTAAACGCTCAGACATAGTCGTTCTAGCTGGTGACTTTAACGCTCAAGTAGGGAAATTGTGTCAATCTGAGAAGGATGTCGGTGGCACCTATGGAGTTCCGTGCCAGCGAACCGACAACGGTGACCGTCTCCTACAGTTCTGCTCTGATAATCATTTGTTTCTTGTAAGCACTAACTTTAAACACAAGGAGAGACACTGTTTGACTTGGAGACCCCCTTCATCAAACCAACGCTGGACACAAATAGACCACATAGCAATAAGCTATCGTTGGCGTGGGTCGGTAGGAGATTGTCGCTCCTTCTGGAACACGTGCGTAGATACCGACCATGCACTGGTCCGCGCTCGGGTGTGCTTACGACTGAACGGACGTAGGAAACAGCTGGCGGTAAAACCATCACGTCCCCAGCTCGATCAGGAAACTAAATCCGTATTTCAGGAAGAACTAGCTAAACACATATCTGTGTTCGACAGCTGTGCTCACCCTGAAGAAGCTTGGAAAAATATCCAGGCAGCCATAGATACAGCTGTAAAAGCTGTGAATAAGGTAAACCCAAAGGTGAGTAAAAACCACTGGATCTCCACCGCCTCATCCGAACTGATAGATGCTAGAAGACTTATTCCGGCGAGCTCCGAATTCAATGAGGAGCGAAAGCTGCACAAGAGGAAACTTACGAAAAGTCTCCGCAAGGACCGTGAACAGTGGTGGGCGACAAAAGCCAAAGAGATGGAGAAAGCTTCGAGGATAGGCAACACCAGGCAACTCTTTGGACTCATCAGGGAAACGGGTGGGAGAAGACAAATCATTAGTGAGACAATCTCGGAAAAAAATGGCACTATAATTAGCTCACAGGATAGACGACTGGATCGTTGGAAAGAGCATTATGAGGAGCAGTTTAATTTGCCCACAGCCACGCTCAACCTTCCGAGCATCCAACACCTCCCTGAATGGGATATAAACACAGGTCCTCCGTCACTAACTGAGGTTACTAAAGCTGTCACCAATCTGAAACTAGGCAAAGCAGCGGGACCTGATGGAATGACTCCAGAGGTATTTAAGTACGGTGGAGACAGCTTACTGTCCGGATTAACTGAGGTACTAGGCAGCGTCTGGGAATCAGAAGAAGTCCCATCGGGTTGGTGTAAGTCACTGATTATCCCCATATACAAGAAGGGAGACAAGTCTTCCTGTGATAATCACAGAGGGATTAGCTTGACTAATATAGTATCTAAAGTCTTAGGCTCAATAATCATGCGTAGACTGAGTGGTGCTCGGGAAGCACAAACACGAGAGAGCCAGGCAGGCTTTAGACCAGGAAGAGGGTGTATTGATCATATCTTCACCCTCCGACAGATTCTAGAACATAGGCATTCCTACCGGCGTCCAACAGTCATTATATTTCTTGACCTAAAGGCAGCATTCGACTCTGTCGATCGGGAAGTTCTCTGGAGATGCTTGGCTGTAAAGGGAATTCCAAGAAAATATATTGCACTGATTAAGGCACTCTACTCGTACTCATACAGCCAGGTGAGGGCTTACGGCGAGCTGTCATCTGAACTGATGACGACCAGTGGTGTCCGTCAAGGATGCCCATTATCTCCTTTTCTATTCAACTTCATCATAGATGTGTTAATGGACTTAACCCTAGGTGACTTCAGCG